TTTCCATTGATGTATGGTTTGTTAGGATCGGACAATATTTGAAAATCTGGAATCTGAGGGTGCAAAAACATCTAAATATTGAGAAAATCATCTTTAAAGTTGTTCAAATGAAGTTCTTAGCAATGCATATTACTAATCAAACATTAAGTTTTGATATATTTATGGTAGGACATTTACTAAATATCTTCATGGAACATGATCTTTACTTAATATCCTAATGATTTTTGGCATAAAAGAGAAATGTATAATTGTGACCCATACAATGTATTGTTGGCTATTGCTACAAATATCCCCCAGCGACTTAACACTGCTTCTGTGCTGCAGGGACACATATCAGCATGAAGGAAAATAAGAAAATACAGTTCTGGAAGCATGATTTCTTATGTCAGTCTTGTGGTTTTCGGGTGAATATGAGCCGTTTGTGTTCTTTACTTTTTTGTGTGTTTAAGATCATGGCTTCATCACAAACATGTAAACAATACAACATAATCATACAGATGGATGAATTACTGGTATTAATATTCTACATGCACATGCTTTTTACACTCTCTGGTGGTTTAAAGCGATGAAACATGCATCCACTCACAAAAATGAGATCATTTCATGAGAAATTATGTTTTGCATTAAGATTTTAGGATATTTTGCACATTTTCCAACATTCTCTTTACTGTATTACAGTCATGAACTTCATTCTGTCCATTTTTAAATTAAACTCAATAAAACAAACTACCATAGACAGTGTTGGAAAAAGTTACTTTTAAATTAATGCATTACAATATTGCATTACTCCATACAAAAATAAATAATTGCATAACTTTTTTATGGAAAGTAATGCATTATGTTGCTTTTGCGTTACTTTTTATCATCTGGGCAGGGCTTGCTTATTTGTTTTGTAATAACAAAAAACTCAAATGTTACATTTTTTGGCAACTATAAGGGCCTTTTTCACACCTACATTTTTAAATGAATAAGCCTCAGGCTGAAGGAAGAGTCTCAGCACTGACTCCTGATTTCTGTCTCCATGGCAACACCAGAGCTGTCACTCAACACATGGAAACTAAGTAACTGCTGCTACTGATTTCAAAAAGTAACTCTGATATTTCACTGTAAATGTATTACTTTACTAGTTACTTGAAAAAAGTAATCTGATTATATAAATTGCATTACTTGTAATGCGTTACTCTTGTGAATGCAAGTTATGCACAAAATTAAAATATCGAATAAAACATTTGTAAACAAAGCACCATTTTCAAAAGAACACAATCGTCACTTTCTGAGAAACTGGCGTGAAATATATAAAAAATACAAATGAAAGACTCATTTGAGCACATATGTTTTCATGCACATTTCTAGACTTTTTTAATTAAAACATAAAATAAAAATAGGTGGATGGAAACACAGCTAATGATGTATTCACTCTTTAAAAGAAAGGATAAAAAAACATTTTTGGTTCCCCAAAGATCACTTCCTAAAAGAACCCTGTTTTAATTATAAGCTAGATAAACAACAAACCTTTTCTTCAATATAAAGAACCTTTAGTTCTAAGCATGTTCAAGGTTCTTCACGGAAACATCAATGCCAATAACGACGACTTCATAAATGCCTTTATTTATCAGAATGTAATAAGTATAATGTATAACATTTAAATATGCATAATATTTTAAATGCATACCCTAGTAAAAAAATATTTAAAATACATTTATTTCATACTAAGTCAAATCTATTAACATATTTACTGAGAGATAACTCTGATATAAAAATTATAATAAAACCTTGTTTGGCGTACTAGATGTGCACAATGCACATTTCTTAATATTAAGTCTAAAATGTGTTTTAATCTCACTTTTAATTAGGATTGCATGATCTTTGAATAATATCAGTCTTCAAAATATTTAAGTATACCAGTTTAGTACACTAAAAGTACAATTGCAGTGCATTTTATTAAGTACATAAATATGAAAATGTATTTGTAATATACTTAGCATGAAATAAATGTATTTCAGATACATTTAAGTATATTTATTTTTTACTAGGGTAACATTTTCAATCATATTTTATTGTTATAATATGTGACTGGTCTTAAGTCGCTGGGGGATATTTGTAGCAATAGCCAACAATACATTGTATGGGTCACAATTATACATTTCTCTTTTATGCCAAAAATCATTAGGATATTAAGATCATGTTCCATGAAGATATTTAGTAAATGTCCTACCGTAAATATATCAAAACTTAATGTTTGATTAGTAATATGCATTGCTAAGAACTTCATTTGAACAACTTTAAAGATGATTTTCTCAATATTTAGATTTTTTTGCACCCTCAGATTCCAGATTTTCAAATA